CTCAACTCTAGAATTCAAGTCAAGCAGTTGGGAGTCAAAATGCAAATAGATATAAAATGGTCATTTTTTAAGTACTTGGGGGTGGAAGGTGAGAGTGTTTTTAGAAAAATCAGGAGAACTTAATATCAGTGTTCTGAGGTGATTACAATGTTCTAAACCAGTGGTTCACAACGCGGTGCCTGTGGGCGCCATGGTGCCCACTGGGGCATTTATGTGTGCCTGCCGAGTGACCAGGGCTGGCCCGAGCCTTTCTTGCACCTGGGCACCTGGCGCACGCGCGGCTCCTTCCCTGGGGGCGCCCGGCAGCCCCAAAAGGTTGGGGACCACTGTTCTAAACTATTGTGTGAGACCCTGTTTAAGTCTTCGTTTCTCACATCTTGGGTTAGAAAGTGTTGGAAACAGCCGTGGCTGCTTAGTCTCTCAGGGTATGTCTACACTACCCCCCTAGTTCGAACTAGGGGGGTAATGTAGTCATTCAGAGTTGCAAATGAAGCCTGGGATTTGAATTTCCTGGGCTTTATTTGCGTGATGCCGGCAGGCGCCATTTTTAAATGCCGGCTAGTTCGGACCCCGTGCCGCGCAGCTACATGCGGCATGGACTAGCTAGTTCGGATTAGGCTTCCTATTCCGAACTAGCTGTACGCCTCGTGGAACCTCAGAGAAAGGAGCTTATTATACTACTTGACAATGATCCCTCTGGTTTATCAAACTGTGTAAGCAGTCTCTGAACAGAATCCTTTCCTGGAAGGATGGTGGATGATGAAGGCACTAAGACTTGAGGATGGGTGAGGTCAGTGGAGCCAAAGCCTCTGCTTTCCACTGGGCAAGGTGGAGGGAGGGTGGCTCTGTGCTCCCAGAAGGGCCAGGGCCGAGAGCAGCCCTTAGCACCGCCCAGAGTGTGCAGCATAGTGCTCCAGCAGTGATTTAAAGGGGCCCAGGGCATCTGCTGCCTTTGCCTTCCCTGTAGGCAGGTTTGGGAGAGGTAAAGCAGTGAAAAACTTGTGGCTCTTTGAACCTCTGACAGTTTCTCCAATATGATATTAATTAAAATGTAACCATTGGATGTGATGAACTGCAAAGATAATCTAATTGTGCCCCACCAAAAACTAAATGAATACTTTGCCTTGATTTTCAGTCAGGATGATAATATGGAATATGTGTATGAAGGCAGTATGGCTGAGACATGAGTCTCCAGAAATGGAAATTAGCAAGTCTCAGGTGAAAGAAGAACTTAAAGAGCTTGATACACCCCAGTTAGAGGGATTAGATAATTTCCAGCCCAGAGTACTGAAAGAGCTGGTGCATAAGATTTGCTAGTCTGGTAGCAATGATTTTTAATACATCTATTTAGTGGAAGAACCATATGACTTGAGAATAGCGAACATCATACCTATATTTAAGAAGGGGGAAAAATCTGATCCAGGCAATTAGATTTGTTAGTCTGATCCTAGTAGTATACAAATTAGAGCAAATGAAGAAGGAATCAATAATTAAATTTATGAAGGTAAATGGCAAAGGGAATGTAATGCAACATGGGTTACCAAATGTAGATCAGGTCAGATTAACCTGATTTCCTTCACTGAGGGTACGTCTACATAGCACGCTTATTTTGATATAAGCTATTTCGGATTTTTTTTCTGAAATAGCTTATTTCGAAATAGCACATCTAAATAGCACATCTACATTTCAGGGAAGCCTCAAAATTAGTCTGAGGCAGGCTTCCCTAATGGGAATGTGCTACCTTAAATTAGAGCCCCAGGAGGCACTGGGGAGTAATTACTTTGAAAGGTCTTGGGGAGGAGCTATTTGAAAATACCAGCTATGGAGTGTCCACACTACTGCTATGCCGAAATAGCTATTTCGGAATAGGCGTTATTCCTCGTGGAATGAGGTTTACAGATTTCCAATTGCTGTGTAGATGCTCGCATTGTGATTTTGAAATAACTGTGCTGTATAGATGCACCCACAGAAAATAACTGACTTTTAAACAAGGGAAGTACAGCAGATTTAATATACTTGAACTTCAGTAAAGCATTTGACATAGTACTACATGCAAAGCTGTTGGTTGAATTAGGGAAGATGGGGATTAGTATAAAACTTGTAAGGTTAAGGTAACCATATTTCCTGCTGCTGAATATGAGATCCCTGGTAAAATTATTTGAGTAATGGGACTCAGTCAGAACTATGCAATACAGATGTTCAAATTATTATTAAATTGATGAACCCCTGTTAAAAAAGAAATACTGTGTAGTTGGATTATTTTTATTTACCTTATTTTTAAGGCTTAGAGTTCACACAGGGTGGGGTGACACAGACATAGTCTTGTACACCTCTCTCTCTCCCTGCGCAGCATCAAAAGGCTAACACCTCCAGGCTGTTGCTGTCCAGTGACGTAACCAAGCCACCTCCTGTACATCGACTACAGCACGGAGAGGAAGGGATTAAGCCATAAGGATGCATTGCTTACCAGGGCTAGGAAAACTGACTGCAGGGGCTTCCACGAACCTGGCTAGCCAGGTGGCTCAGCAGGGGAGGGTGTGTAGGAGAAGGAGCAGTCCTGTGCTTCCTGGGGGCAGGACCCAACATGGGTGAAGTGCTAAGCCCCTATCTAGGACGACTGCTGGGAGCCTGTAGGGATGGGGTATGATCAGGTGGAAATTGCTTCCTCCCCGTCACTCCAGAGCTTAGATGAGGGGCAGAGAGGCTTCCCTGTGCCAGTGCTGTGTATAGCTTGGCACATGTAGGGTTTGACTCCTCCTGGTCAGTGCCCTGGGGCAGCGGATCTTGATCTTTCGTGGAGTTTTGTCCCAGCCAGAGGCGCGGGGCAGGGAGGGGAAGGAGGAGCCTGCTAGCCAGGCTTTGGTGAGCTGAGCACTCCTCACAGAGTGGGATGTGCTCCACCCAGGGGGCATGTGGAGGAGCAGCCGGGCTACGGGCATGAAGGGGCCAAGCAGGGAGAGAACAGCAAGAAAGGAACACACAAAGGTTTGATGGATGGGCAGCAGAGGCTGCACATAATTGGCTGGTGCCTGGAACATGTCCACACTCACCAGCTGGCGTGGTGCGCAGCTAGTGCTGGCCAAACAGGATGGGGGGATGGAGCCCTGCTGGCTGACAGCTGGCATGCAGCAGGGTTGTGCTGATGGACCAACAGGGGGAGTGGCTGGATCCATGTGCTGCATCTCTGCCCTGCTACTAGCCTTGTACACCTACTCCCATCATCAGCCACTGGACCCCTTCCCACCCATTCACCGCTGGTGAGTGGTTGACTGGTGTACAGTAATCTGACTAGCAGCAGGACCTACCAATACTGATGTGAGAGAGACAGAAAATATAGGATAATTTGCCCATGTTTAAGAAAAAGTTGGGACATCTGCAAGAAAGATTAAATAAGGGATTGTCTCTTTAAAAATGGGCGTCTGGTCACCCTATGTAAGGTAGATGAAGAACTGGCTAAGGGGAAAAGACAGGGCTTTGTACTGAAAAGTGAACTACTAGGAAAATTACTAGTGGAGCACCTCAAGAACTCAGTCAATGACTTTGGCACAAAAAGTAGGAGTGTGCTAATGAAATTTGGTGATGCTGCAAATTTGGGAGGCCTGGTCAATTCAGAGTAAGATAAGAATGTTATTCAAGAATATCTGGATTATTCTGAAAACTAGAATTACAGAAATGGGATGAAATTCAATAGTATACAATGCAAGATCATGGACTTAGGTTCTAACAACAAGAATTTCTGCTGCACTTGGGGGTTGGAAATGACAGAAGAGGTGAGACACCAGGATGTCTGGATCAATAGAAAAATGACTGAGCTACTGATGAACTACATCTGGGAAAATGACAGATATGATAGTAGGATGTATCAGGAGAGGCATTTCCAGTAGAAATAGAGAAGTATTCATGACATTGCACAAGACACTTGCAAGACTGCGTTTGGAATACTGTGTACAATTCTAGTCATCTGTGTGCAAGAAAGATGAATTCAAACTAGAACAGGCTCCAAGAAGAGCTACTTGGATGCTCAGGGGAGCAGAGGGCCTATCTTATAAGAAGAGACTGGAAGAACTCTGGTTGTTTAGTCCAGCAAAAAGAAGGCTAAGAAGGGATACAATAGCATTGATAAATGCATCAGGGATGGTGAAGATCTGTTTAAGCTAAAGGACAGTTTTGGCACCAGAGAAAATGGATATAAATTAGGCATGAAAAAATTCAGTCTGGAAATTAGAAAAAAGTTTGTAACCTTCAGAGAGTGAGATTCTGGAACAGCCTAATGGGAGCTATTTTAAAACGGAACTGGACAAATATGTGAGTGTGATTGTATGAGAGAGTTATTTGTGATGGTAGAAGGCAGGGATCATCAGCTCTGGGCTTGCTCCCGGTTTATGTCTTATGTTGTTATCAATTGTGTGTGTCTTTTATTTTCTTCCTCTGAAGCATGCATCAGGGATGGCCATTGCTAAATATGGGATGCTGGCGGAGGTGAGCAGGTTTCTTGGTGGCACCAAAAATTCTCTGTCTCAGTGCCTGGCTGGCTGGCTTTTGCTCACATATGAAAGGTCTAAATGATCACCATATATGGGATCTGGAGAGAATTTTTCCTCAGGTCAAATTGGTTGTGATGTTGGGATTTTTTTCACCTTCCTCTGCAGTATATTGGTGTGGGTCACTTGCCAGGATTATCTGGTTATAACTCACTTAATCATTTCCTTGCCATTGTGGGGGCCTCAGTCATTGGTGCCTCATGTTCACTGCCTGTCTAGTCTCCCATCATCTATACTGTTTAGTCTAGTTTTGGTTGTTGAGTTTAGTGATGTTGTTGGCCTTTTTATACAGGAGGGCAGATTAGATGATCTGGTGGGTTCTCCTGGTATTAAACTCTAAATGACTTGATGCCTCTATAACACTTGAACCTGGATCTGCCATGTGTATATCTGAGCAGCACTTTTAAGAATGGAATGTTTTAAATGTCCCACATAATGTGTGTTTTATTTTTCTTGCAGATCAAACCAGTAGTTCATAGTACAATACGTGTGCCTTCCAAGTGGCATTTGATCTGTAATAAGCCACGTAATATCAAGTAAGTAGGTTGTGAATCAAAACTCTAGATTTAGTTTTAAATATTCTGCACCCATAGTTCATACGCATCTCCAAATGTCTAGTTCAGTAGAAACATAAAGTACCATATTCAGCCTTGATTTACACATTATGTAACTCATATTAATTTAAATGTAATTTGAATTATGTGTGAACCAGAGCAGAATTTGGTTTCCTCTGTCATTGTAGTGGGAGGGAGAAGTGTGAGAAGTGTATTCATTATAATTATATTAAGTGACTGATTTGTTTGAAAAAAAAGCATATTATTCTAGGGAGTTATGTGATATAGATTTTATAAATCACAGATAATATTCTAAGAGGATACTTAATATTTTAAAAAATCTGTATTAGAATTACTAAAATAGATTTTAACAACAATGAATTGCCATGAACGGAGAGATCAGAAATAAACAGATTCTCATAGGGGTAAAGAAGGATGGAGTTCCAAAGGGATGATCACACTTGAGATTGGTCTGTGATGAAATAGACAGCCCTCCATACATTGTTGGTAAGGAGGTGTGTTGTATGGCTGTACTGCCTCCACTGTGTGATGCTTTTCAGGAGGGAAACAGTGCAGTTCTGTTGTTCAAGAAGCGGGGAAGGAAACCCGGACTGTGGAGGAGTCAAACATTATGATGCCAGTTTAAGTTTAATTTGAGAGAACTACGGTGATAATACTGCTAGGTTACTTAAAACGATGAACATTCCAAGAGGTATAGCTATGGAAATGGATGCTTATTTATATACATAACTCCTAAACAGTGGATGTTTTCCATGAGTAAATTAATATAACTGAATTTAGAGATAAAAATAATCTATTAGGTCATCTAGTCCATTCCCATGACAATCATGGCTTGCTTGGTCTAATCTGGTTTTAAATGTTTGGACCCCCCAAATCATCCATCAGGGGGATTATTTTAGAATTTTCTCTCTCATTAACACACAGTTTTTCCTTTGTGTAGGTTATTTTGTTCTTAATTTTATCCTATAAAAATTATAACCACCTATAATAGATTACAAAAGATAATGGTATTTAAGATGTACTATGGCAACATTTTTGGGGGGAATAAATCTAATTCACTGTTTTAAAGCATGGTGTCGGTTTTATATTAATTTAATGAAAATTCCACTAGATGGCCCCAAATATCTTCCAAAGCCAGCCTTCATTATTTTAAAATTTTAAAGTGGCATCCAGACACAAATATTTGCTCTTGACTGAAATCTGACATACAGTGCTATTCATCCCAGAAATTTATTATTACAGTAAAACTCTGATGGTCCGGCATCTGATGGTCCGGTACTCCTGATGGTCCGGCACCATCAGGAACCCGGAAGTGCTCCGGGCAGCCGGACCATTGGAACTGCTCTGCCCCCAGCTTCTCCGATTCAGCCGCTGCTAAAACTGACCAGCGGCTGATTCAGGGAAGCCGGGGGCAGAGCGGCTGGAGTGCTGCTGGGTAGGTCTCGTAGCACTGCCCCTCAGGGCTGCAGGACCAACCCGGCAGCACCCCAGCTGTCCCTGATTAAGCCGCTGCTGAAACTGACCAGCGGCTGG